ATTCCGTGCCGATTATATTGATTATATGGTGAGGAAAGAGAGTAAAAGCACGAAGGGTGATGCTGTATACATTTTTATTATATGATTGCTTTGGTGAGGACGAGAGTAAAAGCACGAAGGGTGATGTCGTGCATTTGTTGATTTCTGATTCTTTGTTGATATTCGAGTTATATTGTTACTTTCATTACTTGATATCTTTCTATTCGAAATTGTTATCTCCCCCACAACATTCTCCCCCTCCCATATTGACTGGTTATTTCTGTATTTTTTTCCGTTGTATATGTATTTGAACTGCACATGTTTATTTGGTAGTCTGGTCCTAGCCTCGTCACTACTTCGCCGAGGTTAGGCTAGACACTTACCAGCACATGGGGTCAGTTGTGCTGATACTACACTCTGCACGGTGTGCAGATCTCGGAGCAGTTTTTGGACCGTAGTGTGTAAGCTACCTTCAGTCCATCCGGAGATCCAAGGTAGACCTGCAGGCGTCCGCAGGCCCTGTCGTCTCCCTCTATCCCTATTTCCTGTTTCATCTTCCTTCTATTCAGAAACAACGTACTGTTATTTCTTCAGACTTTGTATGTAGTAATCTTAGACAATCTGTGACACTGTGACACCAGATTTTGGGTGGTTAAGGCTTAAGTATTTGTAATAGATACAGTTTTCATATATTTTATTGTTGTCTTCCGCTTAAATTTGAATTTTCGCTGTTATCACGTTATCGCCTTATATTTGTTATAAAGAAATAATCGGTTAATGAAGTAATTAGATCAAAGGTTTGGCTTGCGTAGCTCACATTAGTAGGCGCCATCACGACTCCCGAGGGTGAGAAATCCGGGTCGTGACATTACCACTTCTACCAATATCAGTAGTAATAGCAATGCGGTAATCTATATGAGTAAATAATTAGCACAAATATTGTTCATATTCATGTTTATATTTATATATCGCTCTTTACGGTTGCGCGATGCCATCCTTTATAAATATGATTAAAAACTCTTCTTATATAATGCACAAAGTGAGGGTTAGAAGGAAAACTATAGGGTAAGCACATAACAATAACCATTTTTGCCAATTCTTCACAATCTTGATTTGAATCATAATATAAAATGTCACCGGCAACAGTGTTAATTCCCGGTTGAACTAGATTTAACCCTGTACTAGGGTTAACCTCAGTATCTAAACTTCTACCCTCTTGCGCAACTTTCATTCGTAAATATCTAGCTTTATCTCTAGGGTGTTTCTTTATGTGTCTAGTCAAAGTACCCGTACTGCTACGGTCTCCAGTATATTTATGAGCCATCAAAGACCCACAAGTTTTACACTTAGCCTTATTTTGTTCTCTTAGTTGAGTAAAAAAGTGCCAAACAAGAGATGTTTCGGTCAGTTTAGAAGGTGTCTATTAAAAGTAGGGGTTACCACAGGAGGGTCAGACAGGGCATCATTTAGATTATTATCAGTTGGGTTATTAACTGGACTAGTAGGTGTATCATCTAAATCCGGTTGAGTTTCATCTAAATCATCATTTTCCTCCTCATTTTCAAAGACAGTTTGATTAGGATAAAGAACATTCATAATTTCATCATTTAATTGTTGACCTAGTGCAACATCTTGGCAAAATTGACTATCAAAAAATTGAAAACATGGATTATCACTATCAAGAATAACAGGTGGAGGAAGACGGGTAACAGGTTTGGGTCGGGGAGCTGCGAGAAGAGTAGTAGCTTGACAACTAGATTCACCAATTTTAGATTTTCCCTTACCATTACCACCAAATATTTTTTTCAAAGAAAAGTCCATATTAATTATAATTATACTAACTAAAGCGAACAAAACTATAATATTAAAACTTAAGAGTTGGAACGAGTTTACCGAATTGACAAACAATTTCTTGAAAATTAAATATCGTTGAAGACTTGAAGACTTGAATACTTGAATTCACCAACTTCACAATTTTCATGAAATTGTAATAATAAAGTAAGCAATTATAGAAGAAAATTAGAGAGAGATTGATGAATTTGTGAGTAAAAATAAAAGAATGAGGGGTATTTATAGTTGAGAATAGGGAAAAAATATAATTATAAAAAATTTGGGGTTAAAACAAAGTTTGGGGGCCAAATGACTATTTTTTAAAAAGCCAAATGACTAAAATTGCAGGCAAACGACTACTTTTAAATTTCAGACCGTTGGCCTTTTTTTAAACAATTTTTTTTTTTTGAAAAATAGTCGTTGGGCCGTTTGGCCCGGTTGAACTGGCCAAGGCCCGCCTGTCGGTCACGGGCTAAACGGTCCCAGGCACGCGGGCTATTTGGTGAGGACCGGCCCACAATGGGCTTTTAGGACCGGTAGGGACCGACCCGTTTGGCCCGTTTGTTAGCGGTCCCAGACTGGGCCCGGCCCACAATACACCCTTACGCCCCGCAACCGTAAAGTCTCAAACCCGCACCGCCCCATTAACGTTCAAACCTGCCCCGCCCCGCACCATTGTCATCCCGTAATGTATAAATAATTAAAATTTATACAAGGCCATAAGGGTGCGATTCCGAAACCCAAATTAAAACCGGTCCAACCGTTTCCGCAAGCCTTGTGCAATCATCAAACTTGGTCCAAAGAGAAGTCACCAACCGGTCAGAAGCTGGGAGAGAATAGTCTAAACGTGTTTTTCGTGCTTTCAGTCGAACAACAGCGACTGGTAGGAGCAGCGATGGACACAAAATTTCGATTTCCATTTCTCTTTTATTCTCCATCGCAGCTCAATCATTTGCGTTTATCATCCTAATTTCACTATTTCCACTGAATCATCACAACTCTGTAATAACTATTTTCATCTCAATTTCACAGTCTTCTCCAATGCCTCCGAACTCTGCCTCCTCCGATGATGATCAAAATCCTAAACCTAACCCTTACCCTAACCCTAAGCCTAGCTCAATTGATCAGCCTTTGGACGTAATCGAGAATCAATTAGCTTCAATATCAATTGTCCAACCTGAACCCGAATCGGATACCAACGGAACGTCGCCGTCGAAGCTCACTAAGGGATCGTTGAACGAGAATTTTGGTGGTGATAATGGAAATTTGAGACACGGCAACGTGATGGAGAAATCCAGCTCGTCCAAAATCACGGAGAGGAACAATTCAGGGATGGAAGATATGGAGGAACCTTCAAGTCCCAGTAGCAGTGGGTATGCTGGTGAGAGGGGAAGTAGCAACGGTAGTAGTAGTGGTAGGGCTGGTTCTGGAATTGGGGAAGTTGATGATGAGATTCATGAAATTGTGAATAATAATTCACTAGACGGAGTTTTAAATTCTCATGTACAATGGCTTCCTGGAAAACGACATGGCAGTGAGGTGGGTCATACTTCCTTTTCCAATTTATGTGGCAAAGTTTAATAAAGAACGAAACCCAACTTGTGGTCATAAACTTGTCATAATATTTGTGTAATTATAACACTTTTGAAATTTGTGGTCTTAAACATACCATATTATTTGTGCGATTGTAAAGCTTTAGAAACTTGTAGTCTTAGATATTCCGTAACATTTGTGTTGGTTTAACATATTCTCATTAAGACAAAGGGAGCCTTGGCGTAACTGGTAAAGTTGTTGCCATGTGACCAGGAGGTCACGGGTTCTAGCTGTGAAAACAGTCTCTTACAGAAATGCATAGTAAGTCTGCGTACAATAGACCCTTCCGGTCTGGCCCTTCCCTGGACCTCGCGCAGTGCACCGGGCTGCCCTATATTCTCATTAAGAGTAAATGAGAAGTTTAAGTTAAATTGGCTCCAGATTTAAAAAACTATCATTCTTTTTAGGATGGACTAAAATAGAAATGCTGCCACATAAAGTATCACCTATGTTGACTGAATACAGAGGTTAAGGTTTAATTTAACTTATGAGTATTATAATAGGCACATAGTACTTTAGAAACAAAGGAACTCTAGGTTGCAATTCAATAGTCTAAGAAATGGTCCTATGTGCTCATAGCTACTAGTGTCGTCATGCTACAAAAAGGGAACCAATCATGAACCAAGACCGAACACTAGCTTTATTTTGTAGATGAGTGATGCCGGGAAAATATATTAAAGTAATGGTTGAAAATTATGTTTGATTGAAGTGAGTTGAGAACCATGAGGTCTTAGGTTCTAATCCCAGCGGAGACAAAAATATTAGATAATTTCTTCCTATCTATTCAAGCCTTGGCGGATAGAGCTACCCGGTATTTGTGATGGTGGGAGGTAGCAGGTTGCTAGATAGTTATATAGTAATATGTAATTAGTCCGAGCCCCACATTGAATATGAGTATGATCTGTATTATGTATTATAATTAATTAATCAAATAATAGATTTTTCTCCCGTGCATTCTCACATGGTATCAGAGCTATCGTAAGAGGTTTATCGCTGTCTATAAATTCCAGCGACTCCGGGAAGAGAAATCAGTCAACCAGAAGTCCTTTTTCCGGCAAACACAGGTTTGTCCGCAAGAAAGATCACTATCTGTCACTGTTGTGCAAAAACCAACACCACCACGAAGTAGATCAGCCTCCGGCGACCAACCCATAAAAGAATTTCCGCCAGAAAAACCCCCACGCGCCGCCAGAAGAAATTTTTCCGGCAATTCCGACCTCACGCGCAGTTTTCGGCCATTTTTTGGTGACGACTCTTTAGGACATTGCAATTCCGAGCCTACCCATCCAATTTAAACCAAATTCCGACCATTTTTATATTTTTTCGGTGTGAATAGTGACTTTCAGGCGTGAATAGTAATTTTTCGGGCATGAACAATAATTTCTAGAAAAGTTTATGTTTTCTGGGGTGTTTTAGAACCTATTTTGTTGTGTGGAACACGACTGAAGCTTTTACACCTAGTCTTACTATTTTCAAACTTCTCCAGCAAGACTTTTGCAACAAATTCTTGAGTTTGTCACAGAGATTTGCCTTAAATCATTATAATGTCATTCGTCTCAGAAGCATTTGACTCAGAATTCCAATCCAAATGGTTCTTTTATCGAAATATATAGAGTTCCTTCAGTACAATGCATGTAAACAGACATCTTCTAAGATTGCTACTGTGGTTCAAACAAGTAATAGCGTTACTTGTGTCTCTCAATCTTCTTCTCCCAACAATTGGGTTATTGATTCAAGAGCGTTTGGCATAAGTCTGGTAATAAATCTACTTTCACTACTATTTCATATTCTCAATCTCTTCCAACGATCACAATGGCCAATGAGTCTCAAACCGTGGCAACTGGAATAGGCAAGCAAGTCCACATCCTTCTTTACTTTTGAATTCAGGTCTTTATGTTCCCGGTAATCCTTTTAATCTCTTAGCCGTTAGTCGCTTAGCCAAATCACTTAAATGATCTATTTTATTTCTTGATAACCTTGTTTTTATAAAGGATCGCAATATGGGGTGGATCATTGGTAATGAGCGTGAATCAAATGGACTTTATTACCTTATCCTTGCTAAATCACATGAACCCAACCAACAGCTTGTTCTGTTACTGATTCACCTGATTTATTACATAAACGATTGGGACATCCCAGTTTATAAAAATTTCAGAAAATGCTACTTGGTTTGTCTCACTTGTCCACTCTAGAGATTGAGTCATGTCAGCTCGGTAAGCATACTGGCTCCCATTTTCCTCGGCGTCTTGATAATCGAGCAAAGTCACTTTTCACTCTAGTCCATTCAGATGTTTGGGATCCTAGTCGGGTCAATTCTACCTTGGGATTTCGCTACTTTGTTAGGTTCATTGATGATTGTTCCAGTACAATATTCTTGATGAAATATGATCTGAGTTATTTTCTATTTTTCAGACCTTCCACGTTGAATCCAAAATCAATTTGGGGTTTCTATCCGAACATTTCATAGTGATAATGCCCCAGAGTATTTGTCTTCTCCATTTCAGCAGTTTGTGAACTCTCATGGGATCATTCATCAAACATCTTGTCCATACACATCTCAAGAAAATAGGGTAGCGGAAAGGAAGAATAGGCATCTAATTGAGACTGCTCGTACCCTACTCATACAATTTCATGTTCCGTTGCGTTTTTGGGGATGTAATTCTCACATCTTGTTATCTTATTAGTCGTATGCCATCCTCAGCTATCCAGAATCAAGTTCCATTTTCTGTGTTGTTTCCTCACACACCTTTGTTCTCTCATCCACCTCGTGTCTTTGGGAGCATATGTTTGGGTCATAACCTTACTTCAGGAAAAGATAAGTTAGCGCCCCGTGCTCTTAAGTGTGTATTTCTAGGTTACTCGAGAACTCAAAAGGGTATCAATGCTACTCACTTGACCTCCAGCGGTGCCTTATGTTATCTTCTTTGAAACTCAGCCATACTTCACACGCTTAAGTGGTCACTTAGACATTTCTGAGGTGCTACCAGTTCCATCCTTTGGAGATTCAGTCACTATTCCACCTTCACATTCCTCCACGATTCCATCACCTACAACCGTAACTCTAGCTCCAGCTCCACCACCTATAACTGTCATTTTGTCCGAGAAAAGATCCTGAGTACTCTCAGGAGATATTGCTACAAAGTTTGTGAAGTCGAGTGATCAGCTTGCAGACATTTTCTCCAAGTCCCTCACTTGTCCTCGTATTAGTTACATATGTAACTAGCTCGGTACATATTATTTGTATGCACAAGCTTAGATAGTTAATATGTAATTAGTCCGAGTCCCACATTGAACGTGAATAGGATCTGTATTATGTATAGTTATAAGTAACGCTTACTGTATTATACTTAATTAATCAAATAACAGATTTTTCTCCTGTGCATTCTCACACAAGTAAACAACAACAACATACCCATTATATCCCACATGTGGGTGGGGAGGGTAGTGTATTCGCAGACCTTACCCCAGTGTTTTTAGAGCGCGAAGCGCAAAAAAAATGACAGGGGCTTGCCTCGCTTCAAAAGCGAAGCACGAAGCGAAGTGCATGCTTCATTGAAGTGAAGCGCAATTCTTAAAAAAACATAAAGTAAACCTTGCAAAGAGACAATATAAATAATCAAAAAGTTAACTTGTACAAAATCCTCCATATTCCATAGGATAAGCAAAATCAAAACCACTAAATTACTAGAATCAACATCTTATTCTTCTACTCTTCTAGTTCTTCAAGATTGTCAAAATCTTGAATTCCTTTATTATCTTCATATTGCTCGTCAACAATTAGGGATCGACTTGTAGTACCCACACTTTTTCCGTTCCTATTCGAGCTTGAACTTGAAGTATTCCCCCTTAGACCATAAGGCAGTGTTTAGAAAAGCGATCGCTTCGTCGCTTTAAGCGCGAAGCGACACTATATCGCTTCTGGCTGCCTGAGGCGATGCGATCTTGAAAAGCGCGCGCTTCACTAGCTGAAGCGACGAAGCGATCGCTTCTTTTACAAAAGCGCATCAGGCCCTTTTTAAAAAAAAACTTTGGGACCTGTTTTTTAATTATACAAAAAAGACCCCTAAATAGTCACAACAGACCCTCACAAAAATAGAGACATTGACAAAAAGCTAGGGTTATCGCCATTGCTGACCCCTTCTCTCTCAAGCTCGAGCTCGACCACTACTTCTCCAGTCTAGGTAATTTCTTTCTCCTTTCTTCTTCATTTCTTCTTCTCCTTTCTTCTTCTCCAGTCAAGCTCGACCACTGCTTCGCCATTTTTTTTTCTTTCTTCTTCTTCTTATTTTTCTTCTGCTGCTTTTGCTTCTTCTTCTGCTTCTTCTTCTTTTTCTTCTGCTTCTGCTTCTGCTTCTTCTGCTTTTGCGTCTGTTTCTGCTTCTGCTTTTTCTTCTGCTTTTGCGTCTGCTTTTGCGTCTGCTTCTGCTTCTTCTTTTTCTTTCTTTTTCTTCTTTCTCCAGTCCAGAACAGATTCCCTATTTTCTCTTTCTTTTTCCTTCTCATTTTTGTGTATAGTTTAGTATATAAAATTAATTATTATATATATGATATGTTTTCAGTTTATTTGATTAATTTTATATTTATTTAATTTTAGAAAATTAATTATTATATATATTATATGTATTTTAAGTTTATTTGATTATGTATTTCTTTTATCTTAATAGGGATTTCAAAATGTCTCAAAGTTCGAAAGAGAAAGACCCGGCTTGGCGATATGGCGATAGAGTTAATGAGAAGAATACAAATGTCGTATGCAAGTTTTGTAACAAGACGACAACGGGTGGAATTTATCGCTTTAAATACCATCTTATTGGTGGCGATAGAAATGTCACAAGTTGTCCGAAATGCCCACCGGAGGTGAGGAAAGAAATAAAGAATTTTGTTGAGAAGAAGAAGGAGCTAAAAAATCAAATGAGTCATCAACCAATGGTGACCAATCTTGCTGCTGCTGATGATGATATTGAAGAATTGTCAGTTCCAACAAAACGGGGAAGAGATGGGTCAAAGCCATGGATCATCGACTAAAGGTCCTATAGATTGCTACTTCCCAAAGAAGCCGGAAGCAAAAAGCGGTGGAAAAGATGTACAAAAATTGCTAAAGACATTTTAAGGGATTGTGCAGTTAGAGCTTTTGCACGATGGGTCTATGATGCTGGGCTCCCCTTCAATTGTGTCAACTATGACACTTTTGGAGACTTTATTGAGGCCGTTGGTCAATACAGACCTGGAATGAAGCCTCCCACTTATCATGAAATAAGAGGCCCTTATCTAAATAAAGAAGTGGAGGAGACTAATAAAATTGTTGAGGAGCATAAAGTTGTGTGGAACAAGTATGGTTGCTCCATTATGATGGATAAGTGGACGACAAGAACGGGGAAAATGATTATTAATGTGTTGGTGAATTCTCCCGGGGAAGTTTGTTTCTTGAGTCCATTGATGCTAGCGACACATCCACTGACCACATCAAAATGTTCACCTTGTTTCATAACACCATCGAAAAGATTGGCCCAAGCAAAGTTGTTCAAGTGGTCACTGATAATGCAAGTGAAAATGTGAAAGCGAGTGGCATGATTGAAGGAGTGTACAAGAATGTCTATTGGACTCCATGTACGGCTCATTGTATCAACTTGATGTTCAGGGACATTTTCAAGGAAAAACCCTTCTCTACAGTTTTTGGCCAGGGCGTTAGGGTACATTCTTATATTTCTCAACGGCCCTTGTTATTGAATATGATGAGAAGATTCACCATGCAAAAAAAATTGGTGAAATCGGGCAAGACAAGGTTCGCCACTGCTTTCTTGACTTTGCATAGTATTCACTTGCAAAAAGACAAATTGACAAAGATGGTCACTTCAGAGGAATGGAACAAGAGTAAATTTGCTAAGGAAAGTGTGGGGAAAGAGGTTGCACGCATTATTCTTTCTTATTCTTTTTGGAATAATGTCCTTCATGCTCTTAAAATTGGTGGCTCTTTAGTTAAAGTACTCCGTTTGGTGGATGGGGAGCAAAAACTACCAATGAGCTACCTCTATGAAGTTATGGATAGGGTCAAGGAGGCTATTCAAGCATCATTCACTGATGAGCAGAAATATGCAAAGGTCTTTCTGATCATTGATGCAAGATGGAATGAGCAACTTCATAGACCTTTGCATGCAGCTGGACTTATTCTGAACCCATCACTATTTTATGATCAGCATGAAAATAATTCATTGGCTAAAGAAGTGGACAAGATTCCATCAGGTTGTTATCAAGTTGACCCCAGATGAAAGACTTGCAAGAAAAGATAGTATATCAGCTTGCTACTTACAAGGCAGCTAAAGGACTTTTTAAGCTCCGACTTGCTATTAAACAAAGGAAGACGAAGTCGCCAGGTGACCAAGTGTTTCTATATTTTATAACTCTAACTTCAATGTATTTTTTATACTTATTAACTCTTGAACATTTTTTTGACTTTTATAGTTGAGTGGTGGGATCAATATGGTATAGAGACTCCGGAGTTACAGACTTTCGCCATAAAAGTTCTAAGTTTAACTTGTAGCTCATTCGGATGTGAAAGGAACTGGAGTGTTTTTGAACACGTGAATCCATTGCTAATTAGTTTAGACAATCCATTGCTAATTGTAGAGAAAATGATTTTGTTGCCCGAGATGCTCTACTTCTTGAAGACCCCGTGTATGCGGGATTTTCCCTTTTATGTCAATAAAATTTCTTGCTTTATGAAAAAGAAAAAAGTTAAGATTAAAGGGAAAACAAATGTGACGGCCTTCAAATTTTGCCTTGTCAACTTATGATTCTTTCATTAATGAAGTGCAGGATGATGCTTCTATTTCCTGGAGAAAAAGAAAGAAACACTTCTTTATTTTGAGTCACTCGGGAAAACCAATATACTCAAGGTTCGTGTTAGCATCCCTCTTCTGAGCGCAGAATGCCATCTAGTATTTGCTTATCAGATATTGCACATCAAATATAATCTCCTCTGAATTTTCTTTTATTATTGATTAAAGATATGGAGATGAACACAAGCTCGCTGGATTCTCTGCCACTTTGCAAGCCATCATATCATTTGTGGAGAATGGGTATATTTCCAATGAATGCTAAATACAGGATTCCTCCATTCTTTCAGTGAAGAGTATAATGATTTTTTGCAGTTTGCCCGATTAATCTCTTTTTCAGGGGTGATCGAGTCAACCTGATCAGAGCTGGAAAGCACCAGGTTTGCATCAATAACACCTCACTTCTTTTTAGTCCCTTTACTGCTTGGATATTTAGAAGCTGTGGGTTAATAACTTAGTTAAAGACTGAAAGTACTAGATTCCTATTTATTTTCGGTTCATGTGCGTTATTTTTGATAGGATGGTTAAATGTAATTGATTGTGGAAAATAGACACCAAGTAAAACATGAAGGAAATGAAAGGTAGTAAATTACTTTTCTGGTTTGCAATGGTGGTAGTGACTGAGATATAGTTTGTAATGCGATGAACTGAATATAGCCTAGCTTCTGTAACTCGGAAAGAAAACATAACACTTTAGTACAGTACTGCCCTGATTCAACTTTCCTTTCTCAATAGACATTATAGATTTGTTTTTCAGGTAGTATTTCTTGTGAAGGGACCTATTTACTTGGTTTGCATAAGCTGTACAGAAGAGCCTTATATGTCACTAAGGGGGCAACTAGAGCTCCTATATAATCAGGTAAGCTCTGTCTGCCCCCCCCCCTCCTCCCTCTTTTCCCTTCTAAATTGGTGACTGTAGTTCTATCCTTTTCGTAGCACTAGAGATACTGAGCTGTTTTTTTTTTGGGTTCTATCCTTCGCATATTAATTGCTTACCGTTTCTTCTTTTAGATTGTTTCAATACCTCATGTATATGTTGCTCTATATGCAGATGATACTTATCCTTACAAGGTCTGTAAATAGATGTTTTGAGAAGAATGCAAAATTTGATATGACACCTCTGCTCGGAGGAACGGATGTCGTCTTCTCTTCTCTTATCCATTCTTTCAGTTGGTTTGTAGCTTTCTCTCTCTCTTTGCTTCATCATCATGTATTTCACTTTTTATTGAATATTAGCACTGTATGTGTTTTATGGAGTAAGATGTCTGGACCAGCTGTTAAATCTCAAGTGTTCTGTGACTTCCTGTCTGGTTAAAGCTTTAGAGGATTCTGCAATTTGTTACTTTTTTTCTTTTTCCTATAAGTTTGTTTTCTTTTATTTTTTAGTTGTAAAGCAAATTCATTAATAGACGTGGACAAGGACAAAATAGTGGACAAGATATTCCACGTAACTTAAAACTGAAACAAAACCTGAGATAATGAAAAAGCAAAGATCTTAGTTTTCAGTCTACTCCACTTTTTAAGATTAATGCAAACTAGTCGTATTTGGCAATGCAATAAATTTAAGCGTATAGCTTATGTGAAAAGCTGGGGAGAAGAAAAAGATGAACGTACCTATAAAAGGGAAATGACTAGGAATGCCTAACATATATAGCAAAAGTAATATTCCATCTTTTGAAGGCTTCAGAGTTAACCAATTGTGGTTTTCTGGTGCAAGGATTTGAACTTTTGTCATCTTAATTCTTTTAGTTAAGGAATGGAAGCACTGTTGCTTCAGCTTCATAACCAATGTTGCCTTTTGTGGCATAGCATTATTTGGGAATAATACAACAACAACAACCCAGTATAATCCCACTAGTGGGGTCTGGGGAGGGTAGTGTGTACGCAGACCTTACGCCTACCATGGGTAGAGAGGCTGTTTCCAAATAGACCCTCGACATCCTTCCCACCAAGAACTCTCCACCTTGCTCTTGGGGTGACTCGAATTCATAACCTCTTGGTTGGAAGTGGGGGTTGCTTACCATCAGAGCAACCCCTCTTGTCGCAACCCCTATTTGGGAATAATGTACCAATCAAAAAATATTTGCAAATAATTTAGGTGTCAATTCAGTTCACCATATAATAATCTTAAATTGTTAGGAGTACTGCAGTGTATTAAGTTCTGTCAGTTGATTCATCCTGCTTTTCCTTGTTTTTGTTGTCTTTGTGTCTATTTTCGGACTTATACCAGCAGCAACAACAACAACAACAACAATCCCAGTGAAATCCCACAAGTGGGGCGGACTTATACAATGACAACAAATTGGAAATATTTTCTTTTATCATATTTTGCTGATCCCCACTTGTGGGAAATCACTGGGTATTGTTGGTGTTTTATTTTTTCCTGATAGCCGTTTTTGCTCCTCTCTGATTTCTTTCAAGATGGTATAACTTAATTATGAGGTGCGTTTGGAACTATTGTTCATTATAAAGGAAGTAGATGTCTTGGGAGGGATTTGGCTCAATTTTGTATTTATGCTGTAAGAAATACCTTTTTGATACATATATAAAGAACAACTTGCTGTTAATTTGGATGTGAGCAGAAAAATATTCTTATATTTGCTATTACCAAGTATAGCCTAAACGATCATTGTCTCAGTTGATTAATTAATCAAAATTTACTTGTATTCAAGGAATCCAGCCACTTTTCTCCATGCATACACATGCCTACGACTTGCTTATGCAACAAGGCAATCTGCTGGGGCCATCTTGCAGGATGTAGCTGATTCAGGGGTCTTGTTTGCTATGTTAATGTGTAAACACAAGGTCTTGATCCTATTTCATAATTACTTCTATTTCTTGCTCGCACATACTAGAAGTACAACAGTCTCATTATGTCTTAATGTTTGGTGAAACCATCCTGAATCGGGTGATATGCAGGTTATCGGTCTCGTTGGTGCCCAAAAAGCCTCTCTTCACCCTGATGATATGCTATTGCTATCCAATTTTGTTATGTCTTCTGAATCATTTAGGCAAGTTCCATTAGCGTTTTGACTTTTGTTGGTCTATTTCCTTGTGTATCTGGTGCGAATGCAGGAGACGATTGACAAGCTCATATTACATTTATTCTTCAGTTCAACCTTATTAGGTTGGTGATAGGTGCTAAAGCCCTATAGTAAATCAGATCTCGTTGTGTGACTTCTATGGTTTGGCAAAGTAGCTAAAAGCTGTTTGTTGTGAAGGCAGGCATGGCCCTTCTGTTATAACATGTTTCTTCCCTCCTTATCTTACGGATTGTGTGTCTAAGCGTGTTATTCTTTATGAAACCCAATGTTGGTCCATTTAACTGATTACACCGTCCATGTTTTGTCATGTATATCTAGGTAATTTCTGTAATTGTCACATTTCATAATATCCCAAATTCTTTCACTTGGATTATCATGTGTTTAAGTCAAGTTTTTCTTCAAAAATATCCTTCCTTTTTCTTATGATGCCACAAGATTTATCCGGTAACCATGTGTTTTGAGGCAGTTCTTGAAATTTCAGGTTGTTTAAGTGTATGAACCACTAATCTGATTGTAATTACTCAACTACCTAAAGCTTGTTCTCTACAGGACATTTGTGTACTGTCCCAAGCCAGCATGAAGCCAATACGATCTGTCGGCTTTAGCTGGAAATTGTTTGGTTTCATGGTACTATATGTTATTGTTTTTCTTCTATTATGTGTGGTTGGTGTTCGTAATGTTTGTATCATTCTTTTTGATTGAGGGAGGGGGGATTTTTTCAGTGTGAGTGCATTTTCATACCTCCACATTTGTGAGGCAACGTGCCAGCACCATGTAAAAGATTTGTGTTTCTCGATATTTACTATTTGGGATTTCCTGGAGGCTACTCTAACCTGCTCATTGGTGTCATGCAGGACATCAGAATCCTTCTCACCTATTTGTCTACCAAGATTCAATTCCATGGCATTTTTATATGCTTATGTGCATTACCTTGATGTAAGTTGAGCTAATGTCATCAACTAATATCAAAAACCACTCTCGATACACCCTTTGTCCTAAAATTTTGCACTTTGGTTAAAGGGAAATCTCCTTTTCGCTATTCTTTACTTTTTTAATATTATGCCACTACAAAGTTACACAAGTTATTTTATAAAATGTCTACGAATAAAAAGAAGTGTTGTTATTTGTAGCTCTGGGACCTCGTTCTTTAAATGTTTATACAAACTACGGTTTTACTCTTACACTCTGTTTCCATGTTATATAAGACAACCATTTAATAAAAAACGTCAAAGTAAATCTGGCTTTGGATAGTGTTAGTTGGTTGCCCTGCAAGAATTCTTCAATTTCATAATATGGTTCACGAATACCATTTAGCATTTTAGTCTAAACAAATGACTCTATTCGCTTGCTTTATTTGACAGGGTGACACATACTTAATATTGCTGAGTACAAGTTCAGATGCCTTTTATCATCTTAAAGATTGCAGGTAGATTATTGATTTTTCAAGTAAACTGATGTTTGAAATAACTCATGGCTCAAACATGAAAAAACATCCATGATATTTGAACCTTGGGAAATGAACCAGTACATTTCCCAGTGTTCTTTTTCTTAACCCTTTCAGGGGTCCTAGCTATTGTGAATGAAGAACTGTTATGTTACAGGAAAAGTAATAATGTAACTTGTAGGATTCGTGTTGAAAATGTACTTTTGAAGTCCAATGTGCTCGGTGAAATTCAAAGATCCATGGTAGATGGTGGCATGCGCATTGAAGATTTACCTGATGACCGTGGTTCCCGTTCTGGAGCAGTCTCCCCTCATTTGGGTCAGCCTGGACATGCAACGTATTCATCAGAGAGATTCGACGAAGCATTCCTAGGTGTTGGTGGCCCTGCTGGACTTTGGCATTTTATATATCGAAGTATATATCTTGACCAGTACGTCTCATCAGAGTTTTCCTCACCAATAAACAGCAGACGACAGCAAAAAAGGTATTAATACTAAATGAAGTTGCTCCCACAACAATCATTTAATTGTCCTTTTTCTCTTAGTGAGATGAGCCTATCTGGTGCAGGTTATATAGATCTTACCAGAAGATTTATGCATCGATGCACGAAGAAGGAATTGGGCCCCACAAAACTCTGTTTAAAAGGGATGATAATTATGGTATGTTTTTTTTGGCAGCTTTTTCCTATAATTGGTGTAGCTCGTGAAGCATAATTCCACCCTTGCCGGCATGATGCTATATGAGCATGCCATACCATCATTTCTCTCTCAAGAATTTCTCTATCTGATGGAGTGCGTTTATAACAAAAGAAAGCGTTGGTTAAATAGTGGAGACATGATACATTTGATTTTCCTTCTAGATAATTTTTGCTGTTAGAGAATTTTGTGGGTATGTACTCCTACAACATAGCACTGTTGTTTTATTGGTAGAAACAGGTTATTTTCTTATGGAATCTTACAGGTAAAAAAGAGATGTTTTCTGTGGATAAAACTCAGGGGATAAAGTGCCAAATAACATAATCTTCTTTTGGTTCATAACTCGTCTCATCTGCCACTCTCTTCTGTTAAACCATGAGCAAGAAGAGAAACCTTATATCTTGGTGATAGTCATAATCGCATGAAAGTCTGATTCTTTGTAAGTGCTCGCCCACTAATTGAAAACCACAAGCACTTCATTCGAATTTGCCAACTTTGGAGCTGATTCTGAGAACTAAGTGCATATTGACGTATTAGTGAATTAAAACCTTTGTTCGTCTTCCTTTGGCTTATAGTTCTCTCAGAAATTGTTAATTGTGATCAAGTCCAATGTTGTTAACTTGATTTCTTTCTCGGTAATTTCTTCTTCCCCCTTTTTCTTTTTGGGTTGAAATTTTACCAAATTCGAGCAATGAATTCCAGTTTTAAAGTGGGGAAGATAGGGATAGATCAGACCCATATGATTTCCTATGTTTATATTGTAGTTTCTTTATGAAATAACTTATCTCCGTATGTTGCAGTTCTCTTGTGCTGGGTTACCCCGGATTTCGAACTTTATGCTGTATTTGATCCTCTGGCAGACAAGGTATGATTATTTAAGTTTCTTCTGAGCCTACTGTTCATCTAATTATATCTGGAACAACACTTCTTCTCCAAACTCTCTTTGCCAGTCAATTCTTTTGGTGTTATATGTGCCAGACGACATTTTGTCTTGGTTGAAAGCTGCTGGTACATGGGCTGATCGGCCAGTTTGGTTCTTGAATTTAAGCTCTTTAAACATGCAGACCTAGGTTGACTTAATGTGGTGTTAGTTTAGTTTGGTTTTCAACTGTAATTAAACAGTACTGACTTTCATCGTCCTCTGAGAATACATAGTAATTGATGCATATGTGAGAACATACAAGTTCCATTCTGTATACTGCAAGCTTTTCTTCCTAGCCTGGTAGAATTAAATGCAGTCTGACAAGTTATTTGCTGCTATTCCGTTGAAAATCTACACTGGGCGAGCCTTAGAACTGTTATTTCCTGAACGTTCTAGTCCTGCCATGCCCTGATACTGTTGACATCTTCTTTTTTTTTTTTTTAATTAAATTTGAAATGGCCACTTGGCATCAGGATCACGGTTTAGTTGTTATATTTCATTAGGTTCTAGTGTTTGCAAAAGTACTTTAGTCTTGTTCGAGATGTATATGTCAACGTAGGGCTAAGTGTGAGATTTTGAGGAACTCTAAGCTTTAAAGAACTACTAATTTGTCTTTTAAATTGTTTAGTATTGGTATGACACAAGCCCGGTCGGAGTAGAGTGGGTATAGAGGATTCATATAGTTGGTCCCAACTAATTAGCGATTGAGGAATAGTAGATTGATATTTCATCAATCCAAAGTACTAGTTTTAGTTTAAGCTACTTCATTGTGCTTATTATATGTGCTATTTCACCAATACATATGCTTTTTTAATGCTAATTCTTTTGGGAGATGCAAATAGAGCATTTGTTATACTCTTGTCAATCCCTCTCTTTATGTATGACCTTTGGTAAATTTCACCTTGCAGGCTCTTGCAATTAAAACTTGCAATAGGGTATGTCAGTGGATCAAGGATGTAGAAAATGAAATTTTCTTGTTGGGAGCGAGCCCTTTTTCATGGTGATTCTTCCAACAATTTCTGTTCTGCATGTACTCTACTCTTTCTTCCCCCCCCCCTCCCTCTTGTGTGGTAATAGATTTGTCTTTTAGATGGCAACGAATGTTAATTGTAGTTGTAAAGTTAAGCAGTCGAATTATGAGCTCATCTGTCTAGGCGATATTTAATTTTGGTTGTACTATCGATGAAATTTTGTAGTTCCTTTTGTATCAAAAGCTTATTTCTATCGATAAATAAATCACAGGTGGACTGTTCCAGGCAATACTTCATTGCCAGAGTTTGCAGAGATATCTTTATGAATTCTCTTCAAAGGTTTTGGTGAATTTGGACGTGGCGTCACATTGGTTTAAATGCTTAAGACGAGAATTGCAAAAGGATATAATTCCATCTGCGGCTTGGATGTTACCCACGTTAACGTTGTAACTGAGCATCTGAACTGGGGAAACAATATGATTGTAGCTTCCTGGGTGGAGAAGCAATTTTAAGGTTTTCACAAGGAATCGTACAATCTCATCATTCAAACTTGAGCAAATCGACTGCATGAAAGAGAAGCAGAGAAGAATAAAACCCAAAGTATTTGTAAAAAATTGGACACTTGTTTCATATACAAGAGAAAGTTCGGTGGATGGGCTGGAAACAATTAGGTAGCGGACATTAACTATTGCATTGTTTTGTTCTCCGTTAAAGTTCGGTGGATGGTCTGGAAACAATTAGGTAGCGGACATTAACTATTGCATTGTTTTGTTCTCCGTTAAAGTTCGGTGGATGGTCTGGAAACAATTAGGTAGCGGACATTAACTATTGCATTGTTTTGTTCTCCGTTAAAGATATGCTACAGAATAGATGTACCAGAACAGTCGTCTTAGTATGGATTTCATTTTACTAACTGACTCTCGGATACCATAGTCCATAAAATCAATTACTATATTGCAATACATCGCGGTTATTATTGATTTCTTGCTACTTGGAATCAGCTGCATTTGCATGCAAATAGAGCTACTTTGAGGACTGAAGAAAGATGAAAATTTCCGTTCCAAATGATCTTTCTCTAGTCTCTAACCCAAACAGGATGTTTACCAAAAGGCAGCACAGAGGAATTGAATATGATCGCACTGTCAGCTAACATAAAGTTTAAACTCTAAACCAGCCTACTAGTCAGACCTCTATCTTGCCTCAAAACTGCATTTTAACAGAGAAAGTACACTAGTCTTCGGTCACGGTACATAACTCAAGCATAGACTTCGGGTAATTGCGATGATCTGATACACATATTCCAGTTAATGCCAGCTCGGATGCCATGGGGGCCAACAACTAGGCTTGTTCACGTGTTTGTTGCTTTTATTTTAAATTTTAGTTGTTGCGGGAAAGTTAGTGTTATTTTCAGCTCTTTTGCATTTTATAGATAACTAGGAGAATTGTAAGTGAGCAACACACTTTTTGAATGATAATACTCGTCTGATTTCTCCTCTCTCAACTCTCCTCCTCTCCTTCTCTTTTCTTCCCTTTGCTTCCTACTTTCCTTGTAGTTACTATTTTATTGGTTCTTCGATACCAGAATTTGGTATCAATTGGTGTCAGAGCTGGACATGGGACCACGCAAAGCAGTCGGCAACCCTCAAGGAGTTCCTGATATGCAGGAGCAATATGAGGACTTAGCTGCTCAGCAATTGGATCTGTGATCTCTCATAGATCAGAAAACTCAAAATTTACGAGATGACATGGAGAGAAGGCACACATAGATGCTTCATTTGGTTAATTCACTCAAAAACTCCATTGATGGAGCACAACTGCATCTGCAATCGCGAGAAAGTGGATCTACTTCTAACCTTCAAGAACCTGTGGTGCAATCTGGGCAAGGTATTGTAGGACCCAATCCTTATTGCTCTAGTTCTAATAATCGTGGCCATAATTTGATTTTTCCTCGTTTCAATGGTGAAAACTTAAAAAACTGGTTGTATAAAATTGAACAATATTATTCTGTTGATAACACTCCTCTCAATCAGAAAGTGAGCTTGGTTGCTATGAATTTGGATGATGAGGCACCAGAATGGAATCAGTCTTACATGAAATGCCATGGGTCAATTGATATGCCTAACTAGGATTAATACCTACCTGCCTTGATTGAGATGTTTAGTGAAGAATTCTCAGATCCAATGTTAGAAGTAAAGCAACTGAGACAAACTGGCTCAGTTTAGGGAATTTCAGTTTGCTTTTGCTCGACTCTTAGCTCAATGTAATCTATCTATGAGCCAAGCTATTTCATGCTTCCTAGGTGGACTAAAGGAGGAGTTAGTGAACCTTGTGAAGATGCCTGAACCTTAGACCTTATCCAAAACATATAGACTAGCTAGATTGGCAGAAGCTACATTGGCTGCCAATGCTAGGGCACAAAGGTCCAGTTCTGGAGGTAATTCTTTTTTTGCTATTAAGCGACCTACCTGTGATTCTTCACACTCAAGGCCAAACCTTACCAGTGTTATTCCAGCAACTAAACTAGCTTTACCTGCTCTTCGAGTTTCAGCTGCTACTAGGAACAGAAAGACAATTTCTCCTATTGAAATGAAGGCTAAGAGAACACAAGGTTTGTGTTACTTCTGTGATGATAAATATTCTCCTGGCCATAAGTGTACACTTCCCAAGTAACCGTTTATGTTGGATTTGGAGTATGATAATGATGAATGTTCACAAGAAGCAGTGCCAAAGGTAGAAGGTGAAGCCACTAATGAGGAGTGGTTTGTCATTGAAGGGGACCCACCTATGATCTCCTTATATGTATTGAGTGGAATCCAAGGTGCACAAACCATAAATGTGACTGGTACAACAACAAGAGGCCACCGCAAATTCTTTAGATGGAGGAAGTACTCAAAATTTCATAGATTGTGACTCTGCTAAGAGGTTAGGTTGCCAAGTCTCTCCTACTAAGGTTGGCTATATCAACCTTGGTAATAATTCTATGGAGGCTACTTCTGGAGTGGTAAGGGACTTCCAATGGATGCTGCAGGGTACATCCTACACTTCAGACCTTATAGTATTTCTGGTGGGGAAGTAAGATTTAGTTTTGGGAGCCTTGGGATTATACAGCTTTGACTATGTCCTTTACTTATCAAGGAAAGTTCCATCTTCTGAAGGGTGTATCTGAAGAATGTAAATTTTCTAGCACTAAGATTGTCAATAAGATGAATGGGGATGATATCCAGCTCTTTACGTTACAAGTACTAGTTGCTGAGACTGCTCTAGAGTCAGCTGATCAATTTAATGCATTGCATCTGTCTAAAGAGCTCCAAGTTCATGCTGTAATTGATGAGCTCTTCATTCAGTACCACCAGGTATTTGCAGAACCAACAACCTTACCTTCACAAAGAGGTTATTTTGATCACAACATTACTTTGCAGCCTGGGACTAAGCCAATCAATATAAGACTTTACAGGTTTTCTTCCATGAAGAAGGACATCATTGAGAAGTTGGTTAAAGATATGCTACAGCAAGGTCTGATCCAATATATTAACAGTCATTTTGCATCTCCTGTTGTGTTAGTAGGCAAGAAGGATGGCACTTGGAGGTTGTGTGCGGACTACAAGGAGTTAAATTACTGTACTGTTAAGGACAAGTTCCCTATTTCCATCATAAATGACTTATTGGATGAGCTTGCAGGGGCAGTGATATTGTCCAAGATTGACCTTCGATCTTGCTATCACCAAATAAGAATGGTACCAGCTGACATCCCTAAAACAGCCTTCAAGACTCACTTGGGCCATTATGAGTACTTGGTCATGCCATTTGGCTTAACCAATGCTCCTTCTACATTTCAATGTCTTATAAATCACCTCTTCCAACACTTCTTGAAGAAATTTGTTTTAGTTTTCTTTGATGACATCTTGATATATAGCAGAGTTTGTAGGATCATGCTCTTCATTTGCACCGGGTGTTTGAATTCATGGTCCATAACAGTCTAGTGGCCGAACACTCTAAATGTGTTTTTGGAGTATCAAGGGTGGAGTACTTAGGACATTTCATTTCTAGTGAAGGGGTCTTTACAGATACTAAGAAGATCACAGCAGTCTAGCAATGGCCTATTCCTACTACAATCAAGCAACTAAGGGGCTTACTGGGGCTTGCATGGTATTACAGAAAATTCATTAAGGGTTATGGCCTTATGAGTTGATCATTAGCTGAGTTATTGAGGAAATACAACTTCAAATGGTCTGAAGCTGCTACTCAAGCCTTTTCTGCACTTAAGTTGGCTTTAACAACTGCTTTTGTCTTAGCTTTGCCAGACTACGCTATTCCCTTTGTAGTAGAGACAGATGCCCGTAGGATAAGCATTGTGACTGCTTTAATACAGCGTGGTCATCCTATAGCCTTTATTATTAAAGGATTGGCTCCTAGACATATTGCTCTATCAGTTTATGAAAGAGAATTACTTGCATTAGTTTTTGTTGTTACAAAAAGGTCCCATTACCTGCTTGGTCAACATTTTATTGTGAAGACTGACCAAAAGGCTTTGAAGTACTTATTGGAGCAAAAGCTACATACTGATTTCACAACTAAGATGGCTAGCTAAGTTGCTCCCTTTTGACTTTGAAATACAATACAAAAAGGGAAAAGAACATGTTATTGCAGAGTCACTTTCCAGAATAGATGGTGTTGGACTTATGTCCTTGATGATCTCTTATGTGCAAGCTGACTTATGGCAGGAGATAACAGCTAGTTGGGATTCTGATTCTGAGTTGAAGGCTCTTATCACATACACCATAGAAACACTATACTTGGATAGATGATCAGCTGAGGACAAAGGCTAAGCTTGTGGTGGGACATGATGAAGGTTTGAGAAATAAGATCATAACCTTATGGCATTCTACTTCTTCTGGTGGCCATTCTGGTATTGATGCTACTACCAGGAAAATGATGGCTTACTTCTATTGGAAGGGAATCAGAAAGATATCTTGGATTTCATTCACAAGTGTGATATCTGCCAAAGGAACAAATATGATACTTTAGCATATCCTGGCCTATTACAACCATTGCCAATACCTGCATTACCTTGGACTGACATTAATATGGAATGTTATAGAGGGGTTGCCTAAGTCTAAGAGAAAGACTATTATCTGGGTGATTATAGACAGGTTAACTAAATATGGACACTTTATTGCTCTTGCTCCTCCTTACGCTGTTCAAACTCTTGCACATGTGTTTTTGGATACCATCTTTAAGCTTTATGGCTTCCCTGCTTCAATTACCAGTGATAAGGATCCAATCTTCATTAGTTCTTTTTGGAAAGAATTCTTGTCACCTCAAGGTGTTACACTGCAGACCTCAACTGCTTATTATCCTCAGACATATGGTCAGAGTGAGGTGCTCAACAAGTGTCTAGAAACATACTTAAAGTACTTCTGCATAGATTCTCCTGCTGATGAAGGTTCATTCTTGTCTTTAGCAGAATGGTGGTACAACTACAGTCCACATTCTACTATCCAAACCACCCCTTTTGAACTCCTATATGACTACCCTCCTTCCCTATACCTACCCTACATTCCTGGAGATTCCTCTATTGATGTTGTTGAGGATATTATGTTGGTCAGGAAATTCAAGCTACAGCTAGCCAAGTTCCACTTATGCAGAGACCAGCACGTGATGCAAGCACAAGCCAATAGCCACGTGTGATAGGGAGTTCAAGATTGGAGATTAGTTATTTCTGAAGTTGCAGCCTTATAGTACAATATGTGATCACACTTCCTCCAGACAAGTTGCAGCCTTATGTCCACACTTACTCCCCTTCCTCCCTTTTCTTTATTACAAGTACAATTAAAAAAGGGATTTTTTTCGTTCCTAGACAATATTTGAAACTTATTTACCAAAATTGTCATAGATTTGTATATTACCGACCTAACTGTATTTTTCTTATAATTTATGTACAATCTATTATTAGTACCTTAAATTAGGGATTCAGATACAT